AGTTCGACGCCATTTCTCATGGTGAAGACGAAAAATACTTCGATTCGAACTCGCTGAAATGAAGATTGCTCTATCACAGGAGCAATCATCTCTATCTCGCATCGTAATCCTTCAGTTGTCATTCATTGCTTTATATCTTAGTTCTACTTTTGTAGAATTTCTTGAAGAAATTGGATGGAATGGAAGCCCATACACTCCGCCTGTTCCAAGTTAAATGGAATTTAAATCCCAGGGACGAGAAGGTAACATCGACATAGCTTTCGGCTTCTGCGTCCTTATCGGTTGTTCTTGATCACGGCATACATTTTTCAGAAGCTTTTTGTGATCGGAAAGTACTGATTTCAGAGTGTTCCATTTAACGCAGACCTGCTGTAAACCTCATGCACAAAAATATGACTAACTCATTCACCAGTTGTTTTTTTGGAATGAAATTGAGTCATTCTGTTACATCCTTCCCAACAACTTAAGTTGTACTGGTTTCTATTGAAGTTTTTTCCATAGCGAACGCACCACCATAGTCGCGAATATGATGTATGAGGAGGCAAAGTGAACGAACCACCTTAAACTCTCCTCCTTTTTTTCACAACCATTCTGACAGCCTCCTCAATGTCATATGGCCACCGCTTTTCGTCTGATTGCCCACCCACTACCACCAGTTTTCTCCAACCCAACATGTGCTCTTCATACATTTTACTTTCTGTCGAACTGCTAGCCATCGATCGCTTCAACTTGCCTATTCTTATCTGACAACTTTGTTGCCTCAAGAGGGCTATCTCCTCTACATGAACCTATCTGATGACCATGTCTTTTACAATTTCCTTACGGAGATAAACCACTGATGGCAAATTTTTGCTGCCTTTGCATTTGTCTTCCACACGCTGAAGTCACATAACCCTCTCAACAAAATACTCACTAGAACCCAGAACCCTTATGTTCGTATACTACTACGTATACGTATACTGAGTGATCCTTTTGCTGACTTGGAATCGGTAATTAGTGGGAAAAAAATAGAAGTTTAAAAACGCACCTAATTGCTGCTTGCGATAATAATGTTCTTGTGCCGCGCGAGGTAGGTGGAAACGGCCTAACGTTTCGACACGATCGCCGTCTTTAAAGGCCTAAACGCAATTCGTGGTAATTTACACTCCGTACAACAAGCGTCTTAACCCCTATCGCAGATGTGACGATTTATTCGCACGCAACTCACCAAGGTTTCGCCGCCTAAGCGTAGAAAATGCGCTGTCACCACAGGCGACTCACAATAGCGAGTGAGATTTGCTGCTGTATCTCTTTTACTCATAATAAAAAAAAGCAACGTTATAGTGCTACTGAGTCACAACACGCAGTGCGGCATACATGGCAAAAAGTCGGTAGTCATCGACGGACACTCACCTCTACTGTTTATTTTTGGAATTCTAGGAGAATTCCTGAACGCTTTCCTCACCAAAATTTCCGTCTCCTGCGCATGTCGTACACTCTATTTCGAAGTTTTGTTATTTTGTCCTTAAATTTGAAGTCTACCAAGCGCGTCATCAGACAGACGCCTCGCACCGGCGTGGCTCGTACAGCCAGATGCCTTCCTGGTTCTCTTATGTGTGTTGAACCACATGCGGCACTCTAGCTGGTAAAACAAGCTGTATCATACATCCCTAAGGTAAAACAGGTAATTGCGCACTGGTAGATTACGCCTACCAGTGCGCAATTACCTGTTTTACCTTAGGGATGTATGATACAATCATATATTTTGTACTTGTAAGTCTGCATTTTAATGTTAACCTTATCAGAGATAAATGGAAGTCTTAATAGTAATTTAGTTTTGGCGCGTAGCTTTCGTGTTGATATGACATTTTCCACGGATTTGTGATACCGTCAACCGTTCGCAGTAGCTATCTCACAGCTGAATGTCGCGACTCGTAACGTTCAGCTTCATCCGTGCAGACACTTGTTGCTGTTCCCAACATATTGCTGACGACTACACATTTAACGGCTTGTGCATGAGCTAATGTAGCAGTAAGATATTCCTGGAACTAGCTTTACGGTACCTTTTCACACTCACGACACCACCAGAGACTTTGGCTTGGGTTTTGAGATGAGGGAACCTTCCTTCTCGAGTAAGTTTAATGTCCTGTTACTGTTCATTCATGAACCGAAAACACCCGTTCATTTCGAACTGCCTTGACGTTACGATGGAACAGCCATCAATATACCTGCAGTACAATGAAGGATGTCGTTCTAGCACCGGCCCTTCAACTCTTCACGTGAAGCATACAGTAAGAACCGAGGCTAACCGTTGTCCCATAGTAAGGCCTCTCACTAGAAAAAAGTAGTTTCCTTCCAATTTAAAGATGTTACAGCTGAAGCACTCCTTTAGCAACGTCATTACATGCATTGCTGAGCCAAAAAATGTTAATATTATTAGCATGCCTATCAAGAGTTTTAGATATTGCTTGTAGGGCCTGCTTGTTTGGGACATTAGTGTAAAGCGAAACAACACCGAATGGTCGGAGTACCAATAGTATAGCAGGAACATGGTCAACAGCTTGCTTACAATAGTACTGAGGAAACATGAGACCCTGTCTGTTGGGGTCCGACACAACCAATAATGGGCTGAATTTTGAAAATATCCGGTAAATTTGGGTCCGTCTCTCTCACCTGCGCAGAACATAAACGCCTATACGTTACACAAAGTTGTTGGGGGTCTCCTGAGGTTTAGAGATCTGCTGCGTTCTAAGAGCAGTCAGGATCATGAGTTGCTGACAACTGCGAATCCTAACTCTGATTTGATAGCTTCCATTCCATTTCAACGGAATTTTCTATAAGGAATCTCCACCGGTGCTCGAGGCTGACGTCAGGTTTGAAATATTATACTCGGGGGTCCTGACCGTTCTAAACCGAAACAAAGGCTCCCGAACACAAACTTGACGTGTAAGCAAAGGGAGGGGTTAAGAGAATTGCGAGAGTTAAGATACGATGGTACTTTACGCATGTCAGTTAGCAATAAGGGTGGCGAGTTTGTCGTTACACTTGATCGAGCCATAACCGAACTCCACCTTGGCGACTCCTCTGTTTTCTGTCACGCGACTGAAAAAGACTTTTCATCGCAGTGTAGCCGCTCAATTATATATGGTATAGTGTCTGTAAATCCGCAGGAATTGATGAAAGATTGGTCGGTAGACTCAAATTGGATAGGCCCAGGTGTCCGATTTTCTACAGCCCAGTTAAGACCCACGAACTCTCCTTTCACGAAATGCTGACAACATCACCAGGTATTTTCAAAATTCAGCCCTGGTCGTGTAGGAGCCCAACAGACAGGACAGACTCGTGACTCGTGGTTTCTCAGTACTATTGTAAGCCAGCTGTTGGCCATGTTTCGTGTTAACCAGTCGATCTTATAGGGCACAGACTAAAGGGATAGTAAGTTTTCACACCAATAAAATTGACATTCAGAACCCATTATGACTTGTTGGCGACATCATAGTTGGAGTATAAGTGTTTATTCATCGTGACCATCTATTTTATTATATATCCACAACACCGTCGTGGGTGATCCATCTTCATCTTCTCCATTTGCACATCCATCTTCCTGTTCTTCATTCCAAGCGCACCATCCACCTGAGCAGCCCTGCCCAACTTCATTCTTCAACAATTGTCTTGTGGCGAGATTCTTCCATCATCTTTTTCAAGACGATGGACCAGCTATGTACATATTCAAGGCGCAGAGCCAATCGTAGACTCTTGGCAATGCACCCAAAGTGTCTGAGACTTTCGCTGCTGGAAATTGACCCAGCTGCCGACAGTAAGGTGGACCACGCTGTAAAAGCTCGAATCAACTCCGCTGGATGATTGGTAGAGTCCCTTGCTTCCCTCTGCGACCGCTGATGCTTCTAAAGAGGTAGGGCAGGGTGAGAAACTATGAAGTTGGTAGGTCATGCAAACAACCTCGGCACAAATGAAGATCAGATCGCAGCGTCTACAATGGGATGTTCACGTACTTAGAAGACCAGAAGATCATGCGACAAGAAAAATAATGAATTCCGAAACCCAAGGTAACCGCAAAGAAGAAGAGGCCATACATGTTCAAGAAGTACCTTGCCAAATTAAGGTGACAGCCAAATATGCTGGAGATAGAGAAATAAAGAAAACCAAGAATAACAGCGGGCCCTGCGACGGCGATGGCTTAACGGTAGGGAGAAGATGAACTAAGCAGCCAACTACATATTCATCACTACAGAAACGAAACTCATTACGGGCACTCGGCTCTTACAGTAACCCCCTAACTTTCCCATCCCGGGAGACGGAACTTACGGGCGTCCGAGGATGCGCGGATTGCGCAGATGCGCGGATTGCGAGGCGAAATTCGTGGCGATTTGAATCACTTTAGCGCCTATCATTGTGGTCCAAATTTGAGGTAGAGTAGATTAAGAGGATCGGCTGACCCTACTAAACCACTCTACTTCAAGTTTGTGCCTCAACAGTGGGCGCCAGAGTCGTTCGAATCGCCACGAATGTACCCAAAATCCCAACCCCCACAGCCCCACCCGTGTCCTTGCTAAGGGCCCCTTTTGGACGCGTCTTATATTGACGGGCGAGAAATTGCGTATTAAACCGGGGTTAAGCCGTGCCGGATTACTGTACTCGTACTGAATTTCTAAAATTGGCGTGTTATTCGATGTGTTGTGCTAGTCACGTAACTACACCCTATTTTACGTTTCTCTTATAATTGGGCTAGCTTATTGGGCTTGTTAATTTCGTAATTGTGATTGCGGTGGGACAACCATAGTGATTGAACCATTTCAAAGGGCAGCATTTAAGAAAAGAGCGGTCAATTACAGCCAAATAAACTAAAACCAAAGGTATAAGATGTGGAAGTTTCCTTTCGATTTTCTATAATCAACCTCCTATTTCGTTGGTTTCTCGCCGTTTGTTTTGTCCTGGTTTCATTATCAAAGTTCTACTTACATTGCCATTTGAATGCGTTTTCTTAGAACAGGTTTCAGAATATGGACAATCACGACATTGACCGGTTTCGAGGTCTGGATATGAGTCATGGTTTCATCAAGTCGATAGTAAAAAACCAAATTGACAGGTATGTTTTGTGTCCCATTTGGGGGTGTAGCTCCTTCAATTTCAATCGAATTGAACCCAAACCAAGTTGATTCCGTGACTTTCTTGCCAAAATCACATTTCATTTCAGAGACGAATACCATAAAGTTATGGAAGAGAGAAAAATTGAAGTACAAAGAAAATTCCGTGAAAGTATGTGCGCTAATTTCACTTAATTTCACTTTCCGTGGGAAATGTGGTCCATGGAATATGAGATATGATTAAGGTAAAAGAAGAAAACCTCCTCCAGCTGTCGAGTGTAAACTTTATGTTCCACCTCACCTTCGAGGGAAGGACGAAACTCCATCCGTTAAAAGAGATGCGGCAGATCGGGTAATGATTATTAAGGAATTAGGCTACGGTTATCCTTTTTCTATTTTTAGATATTTCTAGAATTACTACGAGATTTCAGAAAAATCCCTGCCCAGCAATCGTGAGTGAGATCGAAGAAAGCACTTTAAGGGAAAAAGTAAGTCACTGCAAAAACATCCGGAAGGCTCAATGCAACTACTATTTCCATAGTAGTGCTGCCTGCCCTACACTAGTTGGATCCCATTTATTTACTTTTTAGGTCCGAAATCGAATACAAGCTCGGCCGGAAGAAACACTCACGTTCAGCCCTACGGGTTAGTTAACATTTCGCTGCTTTCAGCATCTTTATTCGTTCACCTTCCTGTCATCTTCCTTTGTTTCTTGTAGGAAAAGATTCCGTGAGCTCCACGACTCCTTCGCGGCCCATATTCCTATTGAATTTGAAGAAAAACACTGGAGATTCTGTAGATGTTGCTGTAATGAGTGTTAGTTTTGTGCTGTTCTTTTTCTGTTATTGTTTACGAACATTTACACGACTCCTGCTACTTTTAGACTGATAACGCCGCTCGTCTTGCGAAAGAGTTAGGAAGGAAACATGGCTTCACGGATGATCAGTGCCGAATGTTGAGGCTCACACTTGAAAGAGAACTTGAAGCAAGGCTACCTTCTTAGCTGTGAGCTGATTTTAGTATTGTTTAGATCACTTGTTCGTTGTTCTCATTTATAAGATTCACGAGCCTACGGCGGTCTCAGTCTTTTTTGGTTAATTTTTATCATAGACAAAGAGATGGCCCGTTGGTTTGTTTATTAAGTTGCAGGTGATTGCGATATTTCACACGCTTTTTCAATTATTATTCACTTCTCAGCGAAATATTCTTCAGTATACATTTATGGCTTCAAAATGGCTTATACCTTCATTTGCTATTCCAGCTCTTCAAATACTGCAGCTTTTCGATCACTACTTGTACGCCATCTCATGCTACACTCTGGAGCTCTAACCTCGCCTTCCTTACTACCTAATCTGCTTTATTCTTGATAGGTTTGTAGTGGAACCGTAGAACAGGCTCTTTTAACAAATCTAACTTCGTACTGCCTTGTGATGAAATGTGGCTTTATTTATCGACTTGTCTCTCGCTTCTTGGTGCAGTACCATCTGTGATAAATTACAATGGTCTTTAACATCTTTATTTCTTTCATAATCTCTTAATCTTGTATTCATCCTTATCAGTACAACGCCAGTAACCCACAAATAAGGCCCGCTGTTGCTACGATGAAAGTCTCTTGTCATTCCACTCAGTATAATTTGCCCTATTAGAGGGTGGGCAGGTAAAACCTAGTCTTGAAAACATTCTCTCAAAAGATTCTTTACATATTACACTTCGTTCAATGATACGATTACGGAATAGAAACAGTGGGGACATCATAAATCAGTTCACTTTTTCGAAATGTGCACCCGTTCCATGCTATCTTCATCGGAGATATTTTTTACTAAAATTGGTAGTGGAATGTAAGGGCAATTCAGCATTCAATTTGATGACATATCCAACCATAATTACCGTTTTCGATTTTGCATAATTCAGAAGGAATTTTCGTTTTTTGCACTGCCTGTCAACGGTGATCAAATATGACTTCCTTTGGGTACCTCTTCCTTACCCTTTTTTAGTCGATGCACCAAAGTATAGTTTTAGATTACGATGATCGAGATGTTTCCGTCACCTCATTATGTCCAAAAAAGGGATTTCCCTATACTCTCTTCCCCCTCGGAACCGTCTTTGCTACCTTATCACGATTAGTCTCAGGCCTCTACTGCCACGCTGCCCCGTCCATTCGGAGGTGCAACCACTCATAGGAACTCAAAGCGCATAAAACTTGATGAACACCTAGCGTTAAACCTTGCTCTCAGTTGTATGGTATACCGTTTATCGTACACGCTGCCTTCAAGCTACCTTATTTCTTTCATTTGTCTCTTCATTATCCAATTTTTTCTCGGATTTTTTCTACTGGTTTGCATGCATATGTGTGATTTTGTGGTTATATAATCTAGGGATACTAAGTTTGTATAAGGTCGTCATTTTGATGTTTTGATAGATGTTGATTGCATTGGTCAAAGTCATTGTATCCATTTCAAACTGTGCGTTGTTGTTGTTGCCTAGTATTCATCGCAAAAGTGTATTGCTACAGTGTTACACCGTCCATATTAGATTGTGAGATTCGCAGTTGATCTTTGAAGCACAGATCTAAAGTTATTGTATTTTCTGGAGTGATTATTTAATCAGGTATTTTGACAACTAGGGTCCATTCAGAACTGTCAACCTCAATTGACTCTAGTAATCGAAATAAACATTTTGACGATTGCCAGTGGTTGTTATTAGTTACATGGCTGGCCAAGTTCACTCTTCTTTCTTCTTTCCCGGTGTTTGGTTCCATAGTAATACGCAACTATAGTTGGGTTTTCACCAGAAATGCTTCAACCACGGTTACAAATATGGATAACTTGTAATAAGTTGCTTTCTTCTTGTGTGGGCCTTTCCAAGAAGCCTGTTCTTCCAAAGAAAGCGAGATCGAGTGGAGAAGTATGTGCAAGTCGTTGTCGCGTCGACTTTGTGTCTGTGATCTATGCCTTATACAAGCACTCTTGTAGGCAGGTTCTTTCGTCGACTACCGTCGAGTACGGTGCATTGCTGGAAATGGCGGTGATGGAATGGTCTCCTTTTTTAGGTGGCGTACTATTTAACAAGTTTACGAGTTGCAGCTTTCAATCTTGTTTCACATTTCTACATTCCATCCCAACCTTTAGGGGTTATCGGAAACCATTTGGTGGTCCGGATGGTGGCGATGGTGGAAACGGAGGACATGTTTTATTTAAAGGTACTCTAGTATTCCTTTGCCCAGTGCGACATGTTGGCATATTCACGTCCTCTTGATAGAACGGGTTCATGGGATCTCATTTTTTCAAGCATGCCATCACACAAAAGATCTCTCGCACCTGCGATCTACAGAAAAGGCTGAAAGGGGTGAATTTGGAGGATCGAAGTCGTGCCATGGCAAATCAGCTGAACATCTCGAGGTATTCGCCATGAATATGCACTTTGTTTTTGAAAAGAATCTTTTTCAACTTTAAGATTCGGGTACCGGTTGGCACTCTTTTCAAAAACGATGGCACAGTGGTGTACGAATTGCTCAATGATGGCGAAGTATGTGCGATTTTGCTCGTCTACAAGCACCTGTTTCTACTGTTGTAATGAAGTTATTTAGATTTTTGTCGGAGCACGTGGTGGTGCTGGTGGCCATGGCAATCAATTTTACGTTTCAAACGAAATACGCAAGCCCTTCAAAGCTGAGATCGGCGGTAGGGGTGAAGAGGTTGGTGGAAACACAGTTTTTCTCTAGCTTTTACTTACAGCAGGTTATTGCCTGATTTGGGCTGTAAGTTTCCGATGGAGCTTATAGCAACCTAGGAAAACGGTTTTAGGGCTATCTATAAGTTGCGCTGCAAGAATCGTGTATTTTAAATATCCCATGGATTGGTTAATGAATTCATTGCAAAGGCATAAGGCATGGGATGGTAGAATTTTCGTTTTGTCTGCTCTTGTGAGAGGGGCGAGGAGGGTGAAGGATTCCCTCAAACTTTCCGCTTCTTTATCAAAATAATCTTTCTTAGATGATATCCCTTTTCCGCTTTACCCCAACCCCTCCCATGACTTTATGGGAGACGCATAATTCGGTTCACTCGTCGACCACTTTCAGTCAATTCTCAATTCCAAATTAACCTATATGTGGTTATGTTGCAGTACATTCAGAATCCTGTGAAACAGACTTCTGAACAGACTGCACATAACCACATATGGGTTAATTTGGAATTGGGAATTGACTGGAGGGATTTCTTTTCAGGTAGTCTACGATGTAGAAATGCGTGTAATCGCAACAGCCGGTCTGGTGGGATTCCCAAACGCCGGCAAATCGTTAGTTTTTGATTTTGTATTTCATTTGTAATAGTGGTATCAACTATAGCTTAGTCGATCACTGTTGATCCGGTGGTCTTGAACGCAGTGAGTAAATGGCACTTAACGGAACAGTAGAGCCGAAAATGTTATCTGAACGAGCGCCGAGAGCACTTTGATCCTTGCTACCTCAAAATCGCCACTGCCCCGCTTTTTTTCTGCTTTGGCTCTCCCGAATTCGGCTGCTCTGCTCTGTGCTTTCAATGTTGTCGAAAAGCTGCTATCGATTGTGCTTAGTTTTGTCAACAACTTCATATTGTCATTTGAGCTCTCTGCTGCGCGCCATATCACGGGCTAAGCCGAAGGTCGCCTCATACCCCTTCACAACATTGAAACCACACATCGGTGTCGTTCTCTATGACGATTTCGAGCAGATATCAGGCTAGTTCTGATTATTTAATCAAATTACTTGTTTGATAAAAGTGATCAGTGCAAGCTTGACCACTTAGCTTGCAGAAACATGATAAGTAAAGTAGGGCAAGAAAAAAGGTAATAACCTCGGGGCAAACAAAAAGAAATTACATCATTTATATGAAGCATATGTTGTTAGGAATGTTAGCGTTGAATCTTTTTTCAAATGCCAAGTGTTTTACCAAGTTTGTTTTTCGCGAGTTCTTGCACCAGCCATAAAAATATGGTGGTTTTCCACTTAGGAACTAACTAAATTCTCCTCTATCCCAGTGGTCAGTCTTGATGTTGCAATAATTGTGTTTGTACGCCCATAAAATAAAATAAATAAATGACTACAAAAGCAAAACCGGAAAGGTTTCTACGTCAAATTTGACTGTTCATACTTCTTCAGTCTTCCGCTACCCTCCCAGCATTATCAAATCTGGTGCATGACATAGGCTCGAGCAGCTCTTTCTGATCATCTTTTACTTTTTTCACATTATCGTTCCAGTGGCCGATATCCCTGGTCTTATTGAGGGTGCACATGAAGATCGCGGCCTCGGTGTGTCGTTTCTACGACACATCGAAAGATGTAGGTGAGTGCATTCCTAGAACAAGCAATAGCTGCTAAAGCCTGGGCAAAAACTTTTCTTGCAGGTGCCTATTTTACGTGTTGGATATCACGTTAGGTGATTTACGAGAACAATTTGATCTGCTACGAGTAGAACTGGAAGCATATCAAAGCGGACTTTCCGAGCGTCCCACTGCAATTGTTCTTAATAAAATTGATCTTGATCCTTCAGTAAGTCTTTCAAAAAAAAANAAAAAAAAACCCTGGTGCTTCTTTTCCACAATTCCTAGCCTACACTTTTTGGGTTCACTCGATCACTTATTCATTACATTTTCAGCAAAACAATGAATCGACACGGAGTCTTTTTCGGGAGTACCCAACATTTTTCGTATCCGCCAAGACAGGAATCGGGTTGGAAGAGTTACTGATATACTTGCGAGATGAATATGATAAAACAAAGCAATGATAAATCTTCATGCAAAAAACAAAAGAAAACAGTAAATATCAACAGAAATCCCGTGGTCGGAAATATGAACAACAAACAAATAATAGCTTTGCGAAAAGCGCTTATAGAGCACTTAATGACTACAACATAATGAGAATGACAACAAAATGATTGACAAGCCAAACACATCAACTTCTTTTATTCTCAAGTAGATTTTCAACCCTTAATGACAGCGATCGGTCGGAGTTTCACGGTTTTGTTACTTATTCCCGCAGTGTGGCAAGTATTGACAACGTCCGTGACGTCTTTGTACGATTCAGGAGCCTAAATTCAGAGTGAGTGAAATGCATAGAACTTTGTTGATTTCTTCGTATGTCCAGAAATGTGCCGAGGAATCCATTAGATGTCTGAAGCCATTCGCGACTTCATCACCATCGTAAAATTGAAGTTCTTGCGACTTACAATTAGAAAATGAACGTCCAAAAAATATCACGCTGTTTCTGAACACCATGAACAGCATACCTCTTCCATAATAAGCTTTGGAGAAGCTAAGCGGATCGATATTCCTTTTTTCTTCAAATTCTCGATGACTTCGTTCCATGGAATCTTTTGTCGAGACTTCGATCGAGATAAAGCTCGCCCCTAAAACTGTGTCCAGGAGGTTTCCTACTTCAACCGATATTAATATCTCTTTTCGGTTGTACGAGCGATAGTTATTGTAGAGGTCCGGAGCAAGGGCAGCTACTGTCTGTCGTTACCAAGCACCATTTCCTGAACTCACCATGCGTCAAACGGGTGGACATCGCGGTTTTCTTTTTTAAGTATTATCGCTATCTTAGGGAAGCAGGAAATCCTACACTCTTGGCGCTTAAACAACATCCAGCGTTTAGCCTACTGTGAGGAAGAATATTGCGGTGGATTTCATACTTCCGAACAACCGTATCCCCTCTGAAATTAAGCCGAATGGTGGACTTCATATCATTAAAAAGTCTGAAGTTGAGGGAAGAATAGACGCACTGTCTCGGAAATGACAAAATCATCTATCTCGTATATTCAGAATAACATTCCCCAAGCTAACCTCAAAGGTTATGATAAACACCCGATGGAGTCCTCCGCAAGTTTTGATAATGACAGTCGTCCGCTCCCGAGGATAATTTTCGGATCAGATTAAATGAAATGGTAGCAGTACAGTTTCCAAAACACATTCAGTCTTCTCTTACCTAATTTACTTTTATTGTATGAACCTACCGCTCCATGACACGTTGTACCGTATGCTTCAACCATTCCACGTTCAGTTCCCGTGAGAACGTAGCTGCAAGTTCCCATACTACCACCAATCAGCACTGGTTGTCCTGCATCCAAACTTCGTATTCAGTGTAAGTGCACTCAGAGTGTCATAAAAACAAACCAGTCAGTTGGTAATCAACGGGTATCAAGGGATGATGTGGTGGGAAAGCTCGAGTAGCTCCCTTCCGATGAACGCAGAGTTGCGCAGGACGACCATCAACTAAGTGTTCTTCCATCTTCGCCACGTTATGCGATGTATCATAGATCATCTGAAATCGACTTTAAATAATTATATATGATGCATGCAATACACACATATATGTTTATTTATTAACCGATTGATTTCAAAATTACTCTGTCAGACGAGAAATGGGCACTACCGAGCAGCAACTTCCATGTTCGGTCTTCTTGAAACCTGGGCATGTTACATAATCCTTCTTACTGCTTTGCCGTTCAGGTTTGTTATGATCGAACCGCTTTATTTGGGCGACGCTTCGAACAACCCGTCGTCTTCAACCTGTATGGCAGAGTAGCGAGAAGAATGATGAGCGCTACTTTTTGAAACTCAGTCGCTATATTTAGATAAGCACTTAACACTGATGGTGGGTGGCAGGACTGAACTCCATCCTCATGGATGGAGGGGAGGGGGAAGGGGAGAGTGGTGAGCGAAAGTTTTGCTTTTCTTGGATCTCCATCGTTCAAGTTTAAAAGAGGGAGGAGTCGACAGGAATAAGGGCGGGGCGTGCGCGGAATGAGCGTAATCTGAGCGAGACAACGCAAACAAGCAGGAATAACTGTGGAATTTACCAAGTCAAACACACCTGACTTGAGCAGGAGACTCCAATCATGGCAGGCAGGGCGCTTATAAAGGGCGTAGGGGTGTATGAGTGTTGTTGGAAATTCATAACCCCTGTTCTGCTAAAACGCATCCAAATTCGAAAGGAATATGTACGGGAGGACAAGTTTGTCAAGAAAAGGAGGAGAGGCCGCCGTTAGCCGGACGATCGACCTAGTGAACATGACGACTTTACTATGTCAAAGCTGAGCGCAAGTAAAATCAAGCGAAGTGAGAAATACATAAAACCTAGAAGAAGAAAGCAAGAATATGTGAGAACAAATAGAGTCATCTCAAGTGATAAATTACAGCGTGCTTCCTAACAGACTTTTAAATGCAGTAGTTCGATAACTCCTGGAAAGCAGACACTAGCGCTTACACAGAAAGAAACTCTCAGTTTGTTTGAACAAACCTGCTTAATAGTACCAAGAATAATGCATGAACTTAATTTTTTTTATATTCCCAAGAAATAGGCTTATTTACGTGCAGGAAGGAAAAAGGAACTGACACTGAACATGTCTCCTTCTTCTCAAAATGCGTTATGAACCTGCAACTTCTATTCTTGTTGTAGTAGTATTTGGGTTTCCACCTAAGGTAACATAAGCTGACAGTTATACTAAACTCCCATGTACTTCGTGATCGAACTAATAGGAAAAACAAATTCATTCTTTCACACTGTGACTTAGAAGATTTGTTANAACTATGTATGTGTACTAGCGGTCTCCAGATGTTACCTGCATATCCAAATCGTCTGGCTGCATCGTAAAGACGTTGGCAAAAGCTTGACGTACACAAAACGTCATGCACGACCGATTCACCCACGCAAAATTAGCCGCAGCAGCCATTCCTTTCAGGTAATCCTGTCCTAGAATACAACTCAATTCATTTCCCTTCCAAAATCAAATTATTTATCAAGGTTACACTGAAGAAGATGAGATAAGAGAAGAAAAATCTCCCACATACCCAATATATAATAGTAAAATGCATACTGTAAGCTTGATAGTGAACGAAGGAACGGGGCAGTTGAGAGTCGGAAAGAGAAAATCTCATCAAGAATGGATAGTCAGGAATGGCATATCGCAAAATGAAAACGAGTCATGTTAGGTCCAAACGGGAGAACAATTCGCACAAATAGATTTTTCGTCATTAACATGTGATTATTGTACCTACAAAGGTTCGGAAAACTCTCGTCGTTACGACTATAGTGGCTACAACGGAACCCTCTGTACGCATCGTCAAGTATTATCAGAGAAGTGCTTAAGCTCGGTATATTCCCAAAACAACATGATGCACGATTTACCAAAAAGTGTACAAAAATAATCAAAAGCTTATTTCTCTTGGAGTAAGATTACCAACAACTTCCGACGGAACGTCCAGAATGATGATTTTGGACAGTTCCTTGACAAGCACATGATTGTCTTTTCTCAGAGGCAGAGTTTTTCAAAATGGGAATTCCTACCTTCAGTGGAACTTATTCGGGCACAAGCCAGCTGCCGATCATTAACGTGTATACCGTCGCGGGCCATTGCCTTTTCCATTTCAACCAATGCATCGGTGGCAACTTGGTGACCAAGACCACGACTTCCACAGTGCAGCATCACAACTACTTGACCTTCGAAATATTTGTGTTGAACTCTGAAAGATCAGTTGAAGGGAGATGGAAACTCACCTAGTTCATCAATTCCCATTTTAGCTGCAGCATGCTTGTCAAAGATCTCGTCCACTACTTGTACTTCGGCATAGTGGTTTCCGGCACCCAGTGTACCTAGCTGTAACGGTGTAATATGTAATTCATGCAGCAAATTCCCAACTTTCGAAACCTTCGAGAGCGAACAACGCAGAATGAATCAGATTGGGTCTTCTTCTGACTTTAGAGCTAGCGCAAAAATTCGAATACTGAATGGGCAAAAATTGTGGCAAAATTGCTTTACTCATTTTTCAACCTAACCATTTCACCAACTCTATTATTCTAACAAAAATACTTTTTCTGGATTAGTCTAATATGTAAGTGAATAGTGGAGACAGCACCTGAGGAAGACCTCTTTTCTTCGCTCTGGTTGAAACTTTCGTTGCATCTGCTTGCAGCATCCGACCATATTCCTCGCAGTGTTCTTTATCCTCCGCCCAGGAGTATCCTTCTCGTAAAGTCCAATCCATTCCCATTTCAAGACAACTGCAAAACAAGTTGATCTCCATAATTTGTTTCAATGTCGCTCTTATGCAGATGGAGGCGGTTGGACCTCATACTTTTGCGTATGACGTGAAACATATGGGCCGTAAGACAACTCCTATTTGAAAAGCTCTTCTACGGAAGTCTAATTCACGGAACACGTGAGGTCAAACACTGCGTCGGAAATAAGGTTTCATGAAGACACACACTCTCCCAAAAGAAGACTGCATACGTTCCTCCTTTGACGGTGAATCGAGTCAATAAAGACGCGAACTGCCGAGAGGTTCCTTTTAACCTATCGGCAGCTTGCCTCCTTACCGACTTTCTCCAGTCGCTCATCATCTACTTCTAGACTTCCCTGAATCGCTTTCTCTGAATATAAAAAAAGCAAACAAAATCACTTTTACTACATCAAAATATATCGGCTATCCCACTAGACCTACAAAACGGGTAGATTAACACGTTCCTGAAGATAAGCTACTTACAGCTAGAGAAGGACCCTGAAAGAAGTCAATATTTTGTCAAACCCATGTCATTCGAATTTGTCTCCCTCAACTCTCAAAAAATGCTCAGCCGTCTAGCCGATCTAGTAAACGCCAACAAATGCAAGGGACGACCCTGTAGACGTTCTTTGTACCAGCTATTTGTATCAACCTTCTTGCAAGCTATTTGCATCGTAAGCGACTTTACAATCAGGATATGCATTTAATCGTAGTGTGGTTTTTCTCACAGCAATCAGAAGCATTAAGACGAATTAGCAATCTTCCGCTGAACTATCGCTTCATATGTGATTTCTATTGCTCATTCTGTATGTGACTTCTTTACTGGACATACATAGAGCGCTGCACACTGTGTGAGCTGTTGAGCTAAGGAACAGTACCTCGACGAGAGTCCCCAGCAGGTTTACGCTTTTTTGATTGCCACTTGGCAGTACCGCACAACAGTACCATATGAAGACGGGCGCTGAAGAACGGAGAAAATAAGATTTTGAAATATAGAGAACCACTGCGCAGAACGGTGCCGATTTTTGTCCCTTTCCTCCTCCATCTCTCTTCACCCCCCTTCTAACTTCCTCCTTCCCATCACGCTATATATGTACGCTGCATACAGCTGTCGCAAAATCGGGGAAATACTACTGACTCTAACCAGACAAGCCAATACCGATCTATGCAACGTAACCGAACTAATTCGGGTTTTTAGGACCCAACAGTGTTCGATCTATGAAGAACCTTCCTCCTGGGTATGCCCTCCAAATTACATCTTCAACCCGTGGCGTGATGGCACAATGGTTGACAAAGTTGATGTCCCTTATAAGAGTGAAGCTGTCCCTTCTGAGTTGCTGATCTCTGAGGGACTTTTTACATGGTTTCTGTCCCCAGCTAAGGTACAGGGCTACAGGAATCTTCGAGGTTCAACGTCATCAGATCAGCTTTCATTTCACGACAAAGAAAATACCTTCATCAGCTACAGGCGGGCGTGAGCTTTCCAGGTACGAAAAGAGAAAGGATTGAAAAGAACTAAATTTTAGAAATGACTGCAGAAGGATCGCAAACGGGAAGGTAACGAATATATGGCTGATTCAGATAATAGTAGCCTTTTTCCTCATCTTTCGCCAGTTTTTCTCTGCTGAATTGATAGTTCTTAAACAAAAAAAAATAGTTCGGGCATCTGGTTGCCCTTCGAAGATTTTTTGAAAAGAATAAGATTTATAGAGAGAAAGTGGAACACATGGACTTTTTCTAAATTTGCATCAGCAAACCAATACTCACTCAACGAGATCAGAAGCCGACATTGGTATAGCACCACGGGAACCCACACCTACAGGAATATAATCGAACAAGGCTTGTGTAAGCTGTTCCTATAAAAATTGTGCAGTGTTAGTCGAGTAGATAACCTGAACCGACTTTCAAAGAAAAACCAACTTTTACAGGTTGCACATCCTTCTCCGTAAGATTAGTTCTAATTAAGCGAACACCGCAATTGATATCGAAACCGACTCCTCCTGCAAAAATTAACTGAATTACAAGTGAATTGGATGGATGGATGAATGTATGAATCTCAATGTTTCAATGTTTTAAAAAATTGAACAGGACATATAAGTTCACATGTCACGACCATTCTCACCTGGAGAGATCACTGAATTTTTGTCTCCGCAATCAAATGCCGCAATATTACCAATAGAAAATCCATATCCTGAATGGATGTCAGGAAGCCCAATAGAGTAGCCAACAATCCCTGGTAGAGCAGCGACGTTGCCCAACTGGCGGACTGCAGGAAGGAATCCACCAACGCCTGAAATTCATGAGATAGGAATCCTCTTTTTTCCGAAGTAACGAGCAATAGTAATTAGATAGCCTTAATTCTATCCCAACGGCATTTGAGAAAAAAACGGCCGTAATCTCTACGAGACGCTGGTTTCAAATGCAAGATAATCTCGCATGAAATTATCAGGCCAATTTCTTGTTATTTCTCTAGAGAATCCTAGGAATAAGAGTCAACAAGAAAGTAATCCACAATGCGGTCACAAACGGCAAAAAAACATTAATGCAAAAAAAAAACAACATATGCTGAACCATTAACATGTACGCATTGTTATGCGACTTCAAAGTGGACTATAAGTATGGACTCACTTTTCCGACGCTGCAATACTTTCCGCTTCGACGCAGGTCTCGGAGATACGCTGTGAAAAGGATGGCGTTCGGAATTTTTCTATGCTACCAAAGGAATGCTATATCTCGTGTCACTCGCGCGAGGGTAATCCACTGGACTGACTCTGGCTAGCGAGCTAGCGATAGGGACAGTTGGAGATGTTAGGAAGCTTGGGTAAATCGATGATCGACGGGACGACAGGTTATAAAGGTGAGATGATAGTGTGGGAAGCTTATTATACCAATAAATAGGTGTGGTTGACGCGTACACCATACATCACCAGTGCTTCATAAAATACACAAATCTCTTTCCAATTTGTAATGAAACATCTTAGCGTAGAATACTCCAAGAATAGAAATACCTAGTGCTATTATCATATTCAATATTGTGAGGGAGAAACATGACCGTTCCAACTTTTTAAAATAAAAACTTAACTCGCCCAATCGACAGCCGTAGCTCTTCGAACATCAGCTCTTCGAGTTTTTTATTAACATAAAATCGACATTCTACCTGCAATAGGGTATTACTGCAGCCCAGATCGCATTGAAAAAATGAAAATGCAATCTATTGATCTTACATTCATATTTGGTACAAATCCTTTCTTAATTTTGAATTTACATTCTGATACACGCTCGATGAAGGCGCACTCTTCGGCGTAAGTGCGAGGCATGCTAAAACAGAATTTGTTGGATGGCCATTGGCAGGATGGCTCTAGAAATACGACAGGAAAATTGTTCGCAGCGATGATTTCTGCACTCATTACTGCGCAGTAGCAGATGATGGCATTACTTAAAATAAATTAAATTTTTGTCAAACACTACACCGCAGACTTCTAAAGGAATAAGTAGCACTTATAGAAATGAAGATTTAACTCTCACTCAGATGTAACTCCCACCCAAAAGGGAATATCTGGAAAAGACGCGGTGCGTTTGATATATAGCCTCTCCCAGATTTAGCTGTCCTATTCAACTTTTTCAGAACTCAACTTGAACAAGGGAAATAAAAAACAGAATTTCTGCCCTCTTAAGAGCGAGATTTCCAGAAACCCAATGAGAGACCAGGAGGATAATCAATAAAGAGAAGACTAAGAACATGACTGTTTCGGGAGATCCTGCAAGTAATGACTACGGACGAGAAAGAGGAACCAGCACGACGTCACGGCTCGCGCACGCTGTGCAGCTGCTTCACCGCTGCGCCCACGTTGCTCACTCAATAATACTATACATTTTTTGTAAAAGGAGGGTATCAGGGTGGCTCGCTTCGTGCGTACCATAGCGCTGAATAACTTTCCCTATTGTGGCGACCCAGTCTGAAGTAAGGGAGCAAGAAGGCCGAAAACGTTGAGTCATAACGTCGCCAAATTGCACGTAGACATTTTCAAAACAGCTAGCAACCCAACCCATCCTCATGCGAATTTCTCATCGAACTGATCCATCAATGTGGTCCTTAGTTCGCTCAAATCTAGGGTTTCCTCCATAACCCTCTCACCTCATTTGCGCCTTAATCAAGCAATTCATTTACCTAGAACCTTTTAGGGACCACTCTTCCATCAATCACGAGGATATCCACAAAAATAAAAACTCTTATATCTTGGTGAGAACGTGCTAATCGCAATGACTGATGCATTATTGTTTTAAAAGGACCACCAATTTATTGAAGGTTCAGATCAACCTCAACATCAATATGAAACTGATTTACATTCACAACTTTATTCAATAATCATATTCTGGGAAGGAAAATCTTGTAGGTACAAAACTGTGTAACAAATGTACAAAAATTCGCAATCGGTACGACAAGTTTTCAAATGTGGGAGCAAACAACACTGAAACATTGAAAGCGAGCAAGAGAAGGACTAGGATATGTCAAATCAGTGAGGTGCAAGAGACCTTAGTTCGGATGGAAACCGTTAAAGTGTTGTCGGAATCTGCTATGTACATGTGAAATTTCTCATTAACTGCGGATTTGCAATATTACACGCAAGTAACGTAGTGATGATTAAATTGGGGAGATGTAACAATGAAATCCGCAGCTCAGCCATGAAGTTTCAAAAGCGCTGTGTCACAGCTTGTACCTCAAGGCTGTTTAACAGCTTTAATACCCTTGTGAATGCGCTAAACAAATAGTAATATTGTAGCGGCTTAACCGATGCTTTATACATTTTCTTTGTCCCGAAAACGGACCTTAAAACGTGGAAATGCCAACGTCCTATTGGAATACCGGTAACGAGGTGGTGTGTTTCTCAAGGCAGTGTGAGAATCTGGGAACTGAACAAATACAATGTTATCAGCCATGTAGGCCACATGAATATAGACATTTCTAGTTGTACCATACATACAACTTCGAAATTATGAACCATGCAGCAATAGAATGCACGAAAATCACAACTCCGTAGTAATTCGCTGAGCAGGAGAAAAAAGTGGTTGACCCGCCGAGATGCGTCGAGCGGGAATCAGGTGTGACGAAGAAACCTTACGAATGGCTATCGGAGGGGCATCGTTGATCGGAAGGCGATTTTCTATAGGTTGTCGACACAATGGACAGTGGTCCATTTGAACGGAGCAGGTGTTGCATATACCACTAAAAAAAAGCCAAAATATGAAAAATAGATTAAAGGGATCAGAACAATTGCACAGGCTGTTACAACTGGAAACTTGACGAGGTCTCGATACCAAACAGTGTGCAAATGTAAAAATAACACTATGGCCAATATCATCCCCCAAACGAATCTTCTCACCCGTGCATGCAAGGCTCCAAAACAGTGTCTCCTGGATGAGCATAGCATATGGTGCAGTAATCTTCAGGAATTGGTTCTTTTTGCAAAAGTTCCAATCGCCTTCGCCTGAATGTATTCATTCATTAATAAGGCTCAAAATAAAAAGCTATGATGTGATTCATACCGAGGAAGAATTGTCTTCTGCTCCGTTGTTAATGTAGCCCCACCATCGTTGAAAGTGCTAAAATAAGACTTAGAAAAGATTGTTATGCATTAATTCATGAGGAAATCGCACTCAAAAGTGAAAAATGAATTAACAGTTAGAAAAGTAAAGAAATCGCAAGAAACAAACTATACCTGAATGCAACATCAGGAGGATATTTGAATGGTTCCGCTCCAAAATTGAAGCGGCACTGCTGAAACGACATGAACGACGCTGCAGCAAAAACTCCATCACCGACCGGCCGATTTCCTGAAGAGCAAAACTGATACTCCATAATAACATCAACAAAATTACTGATGAAGTGAAGACCCACTCAAAAACTCCAGATGAGGCCTTTGCAAAGGACGACCATTCAGGTAAAACATCACAGTTCCCATTGGTATATTCAGCAAACAACCAACGACGTCCCCTGCAACAACTACTATTATTTAGGAAATATCTTGTGAGCCTTAATTTTTTTTGAAGAAATGGTATGGGTAAAATAACAATATATCTGATATAATCACCTGGACACCATGGCTCGTGCTCGTGTCGGCTCGAGTGGGCGTTATGCCATAACAACTGACGACAACCATCGTAGGCCACAGAAGACTCATCGTCACCGATTCCGTAGCCTTCCTCAAATATGAGCGAATGCAACAATGATTTACAAAATAAATGAAGTCTAAATCTTTCCCAGATAAGAAGGACTTGCAGCACAAACTTTAGATATTGGTGGAATTCATACACTACACGTGCCATTCGAAAATATGTTCTCCGTGGAATTAATCAAGCATCAAGCATACCAGCGGAACATTCGCTCATCGCTCTTCAAGCACAGATCCTTCCTGTTTTTAACTGAACGATCTTTTATGACCAATCTCTATTCAAGCTACTGGGACAGTCTCGATGAGGTAGAGGAGAAGGAGGTTTTAGCGGCTGAAACCGCTAAGGATTCACCCCAGACAGACGTTAAAGCGAAAATGGCTTCGCATGAAGGCACTCTGCTCTTTGTCGTCTTTGTTGATCATCTTTTCCTCCCGCTAATTAGTACGGTTCTTACACTTTAGCGTCGGCACAATTTTTGAAATCTTCGGTGGTTGAGAGGTATAAGATATTTACATGATTCAAGAATCGACTCCGCTTCGTGGCGAATCCAATTTGCATGACACCTGGAGTGAATACAGTGGCCTCATAGAACCATACGCCATCTTGTACAGCGAACGTGCATCTCACGGATTCAAACGAGGATACGTCGCAACGAGCCTGTAATGATTGGTTCCAGAGAATGGATAAACGAATTACGAAGCAGTGCTTACAATGAAGATAAAAAAACAAAGAATAAGTGTTGAAAATAAAAATGGATTCTATCAACCTCCAATCCGTCTGGTCCGATCTTCAGATATTCGCTGACGTCCTCGTGATTGAGCATCGCATTTATCTTCGATACATCAGTGTTTTCATACGCATAAGTTCGATTAGGCGTTATGACTGAAAAACGCAAGACTCTTGTGAAACAGAAATTACTTTTCAACAAAAACGCAATAAAAATTAGAATGGCTACAAAAGAAAATGCTGAAAAAAAAGGTGAGTTGAACGCCCCAATAATTTAATGAAATCTAAGTGGAACCTATAAACCATCTCAAGAAACTCGAAATATATCTATAGATAAGTTCGCATGACCAATGATCCTATGATCTCGAATAGGGAGGATGCGCATATACTAAAATGACGAAAATTTTGATCTTTCATACTGTGAAAAGGTGACAGTGAAGCTAATATGGTAAATGCTGTTAAAAAATATCAAAAAAAGAAGTTCGCGCTTAATCTGCTAACATGAGTTTGAAGAAGATGTGAGAATTATTCGTGACTTACAGATGTTATCAAGCGCCCATGTTGCACAAAATCCTACTTGCCGTTTCATGGCATTCGATGTGCAATTTCGCCATTCCTCCAGTTGCTAAACATTAAACTTAATATAAAACGAAGTTGAGAGCGCAGTAAGGTTGCCTCAATGAGTGAAAGAAGTAATTAAAAGCGCCATTCTTTTCGAAAAAGAGCAGGGAGAAGTTAATGGTCTAGGAAAATCCTAGAAAGGTTCGCGAAAACACGAAGAAGTGACAACAAACAAACCTTGAGTGGATGTGTTGCAGACTCTTCCAATTTCCGCGATATTAAAAACTGATTTTCGCTCGTTTGAGCGAACTTTTCCAGAGCCAAAAGTGCAAAAAGAACCACTCGTGCCTGAGTGAATGGAGGCGACTGAAAGTAAATTTTATATGAGAAGTCCCTTGAAACCGTACGACAGCAGAAAGCAAACACAACTAACAATTCGAGATATAAGGTAATTCAAGGTGGTCGGGTTGCACATGGCGACACTGCTGCTTCCAGCAAGCTTCTCCGCCAATGAACCTTGAAAGAAAAAATGTTAACATAACTAATAGAGTGGATAAGAAACTTGAACTCGATCACTGCGCCAAAACTAAAAATCTACCAAATGGAATGTAACTTATTGATATTGATTATTACGCCTCAGTAGATTATATGTTCTCCGCTTTTTTTTTAATATTCATCCACACTGAAAAATTGATCAACTATCTGGTCTTTTTTGGCATTAACATTGGAAACAAAGTAAAACCAACCCAAAACAATGCATGTATTGCGGTGCCAGCTACGCCTTCGTGTTGATGACGAAGAAGTTGCTTGATCAAGACGAAGAGAGCACAGAAGTCGATGAACAGTGTCCTAAATCGGGCTTAAATTAGAACCGCATCGTTTGTATAATCTCAACTATCAAACCTTCGAAGGTAGGGGACATTCGTCGAGAAATAGTGTAATCACAGCAGGACCCAAAGAGTCATCGTCGGGTACCTCAAAAAAGACATCTTAAGAAAACTGCGATGACGATCTGATTGGCGATGGGGAAAACCTACGGTTTCAATGAGAGATTCCACCACCAACAGCCACCCCTTCTCCCTCTCAGCAATCATATTGAGCTTCAAAAGCGATGCTGGAGGATCTTGCTCACTGAAATAAGATATGAAATCAGTGCTAGGGATTGTTAGCGCTCTGAAACTAGTAGTACATCGAAAATCGAAACGGAATGGGAAGTGTGCCCTATGGGACGGAACACTTCCAGGACTGAAATCAACTCATGGCTTTGAGAACATAATCAATCTACGTTTAGATTCCAATCAGTACAATTACCGTTATAATGATCGAGACAAATGAGCGCTCATTAAGCTTCCGCTTCAGTGCTGATGGGACTAGATTAGGCAGCCATCAAAAGTATTTATGCATTGCATATCGAAACCAAGAGCGCCCTTGCAGTACAACTCCCACTGTGATTGACTCCCATCTGTACGATTGAAGTCCCCAAAGTTTTCCTCAAACTCTTTGCAAATGGGAAGTCATCATCTACAACCACTCGCTTCCTGAGTTTATCCACTGGTACTTTCTGTCGCTCCGAATAAGCACGCTTGACATCCCTTGGTTTGGAACCGCAAACTGAACTCATATCTAGTGAATCTATGGGATAGAGAGCTGCACTGCTAGAGTTACGAGCGAAAAATCTCATAGTCAAAGCCAGCCGAAGCGATAACGAGATTGCCGATCCTCAAACAAAAAACAAACACGGTTTAGTTACCCGTATGATCCGGTAAAGTTGAGTTTGTTTCGGAAATGAAGAAATGAACACCCTTTCCCCACCCCGAACAAAAACGCGATGGAAATGCTCGGAAATCAATTTTAACAATCGTTGTGACCACTTCAACTAGTTTGCTGTGGAGAAAAACCATCACTTAAAAAGCTCTACCAGGGAGGAGTAAGCAAAAACCGATGAACCGCTATATATTTGAACACGCTTAATTGATTAATGAGCTTTTTGGCTGAAAATAAGGTTTGAAAGCATGATCATTTCGAAATGACTATTGGGTTTGAAAAGTTGGCACATCCTGAAGTTGACATTGCTCATGTCAATGAGACCCAATTGCAGATATTTAACAAAGAAGGTGAACTCCTGTAAGAGTAGAACTTTTTAAATTGACTCATCCCACTGTAACACGCAGCCATGTCCATGAAATCTATACCCATCCCTAATTTTCACAACTCGTGAATGGTTAATGTTCACCGTTTGAGCTATCGCTTCTGAATGACCTAAAAGGTGTCCCTTACAAGTTCAAAATGGAAATCCTCTCAAAACGTTCTCTTCGTGGCATCAGTTTGCGAAAAAAAAAACTCGGAAATCTTATAAAGAGAAACATAGAGCATGGGGTCTCGATTTGTAGGAAAAAGAGAATGCAGAAAAAGAGAAAGCGTAAATGTCCTATAACTCTCACTTATTGACGAGCGATCGAATAACTTTAAGTGTCTGCCTGATCAAATCTTTCACATCATTTCCAACGTAATTTGTCATGGACATTCGTCGACCAAGCTGGGACGACCCTTCTGAAAAAACATGACTACAGAATTCACCAGGATTTTAATTTCCTCTTGTGCTTTCAGAACAAGTACTTCCGCAAAACCTCTTAATTGAATTTTCGTTCACTATTAGTACATGGGAAACGCAGTTTACAACAATGTAATGCTTTTTTACACTAAGTAAGAAACCGGCACTCGGTGAAGAAAGCAAAACTCTATGAATATTCTACTGCTTTCTTATTTCGGAATGACTCAGAGACTGCACTTTCTGACTAGTATCCTTGTACAAGATGACTAGTCTCAGTATGTATACCACTTGAACCACTGTGTCATTTCCTGACACTAACCTTGAAGGTCGACAGCATACCAGAACCTGTTGCATTGTCTGAACTGGCAACCAACTTGCGCAAAGGAAGATGAGGCATCGCTGAGCGCATTACGAGTGGGTTACAAACAAGAAAATCAATATAATTCGTCCACTGCATATCTATATACAAAACAACCCAGGGAAATCGGATAAATTGGTTTCATTCATTGGATAATGAAACGGACAATGGATATCGAAACGCGTACCTAGAAATTTGCAATAGTGCCATGTAACAATAAGGCAAGNGGTTGAGCCACATACTTCCCTAGCCTGTTTACTTAGAGGGAAAAAGGATTAGCAGGAATAAATGCACCTGCTTATCTTGTAGCCTTTTATCAATGGAAGCCACTTACTTTCCCTGCAGCTGACAACGCCTCCTTTTAAGTCGTCCCGATTCAGGAGAAAAGGTGTCTTGTTAAAGAAAGCACTGTCACAGTTACTGTACAGCGATCGATTAACAATGTACCCAAGGGTGGGACGCAGAACATTTCACTACTGAATCACCCTTACGAGCGATTCTATCGAAAAAGCTATTTATGTTAAAACGTGACCATAAATGTTGATATAAAAACAAAAAATAAGCCATACCTGCATCAAAATCGATTTCTTGTTCGAAGGAGGGTGAAGATCTGTTGCGTTCTTCTGAACGACGGCATCCACGTGATCCTCGACCGCTGAAATGTTGATGATTAGATATCGATAATGTGTGATTGTGACTGAGAAAAAAAGAAAATTTTCAGAGAAATACCTGTTGTTTTCATAATTTTGACGGGTTTTCTCTTTACAAAGGCAAGAACCCATGCTGAAAGATAAGATTATTTAACGCTGACGGTTGAAAATGATGCACAAAGTTTAGTAGGAAAGCATGATTCTGGTACTGCACGAAACACAGCCAATCATTGAATAAAATCAAAATCAAAGAACATTTCAGTAGCAAAGAAGAATACAGACGATTGAAAACGCTGGTTACTATGAACAGTGAGAAGGGATTTCAAACAGAGTAAGGCAATTTCTAGACACAGAAAAATCGTAAATCGAACTTTACTCTTTTGGATTTTTCACTTAAATACAGTTTGTAATGAAGGAAATGGGTTTGCGACCGGCTTCTTGACAGAACTTAAGCATATATATCACCCCACCTCTTCAACATGGTCAGACTTCCCAGTTCCCGCATAAACTATGCGTTCCAACATTTGCTAATAAGGGGATGTCACAGGAAGGCTTTTGTGAAGGGCTCAGAGAATGGTGAATAAATGCCATACAAGGCAGAGGAAGCGTATAATCGCATTCATATATTCAGTTCGAGCGAATGGTGCAACATGGCGTTTGGAGCGCGTTTCTGGGCCCGAGACAACTCGCCCATTAGGAGGGCTAAACAAAAAACTTCAAAGCGGAGAGACAATTTCCCGAGAAGGTAATTCGGAGACATAACTAAGTAAAGTGCATATATGGGCAGATTGGTTAATGTCAATAAATGCGAAATATCTGTCTAAAACGAGGCGATCATGGACGAGTTGTTCTTGTAGATCACGCGGCTTCAATGGCAAAACTGCGCCAACCGAAAACAAATGTGGAACTGAACTCGTACACGCTATAAGCCTTTACCTATTAGACGCTGGACTGTAAACATCAATTGTACTAAATCTGTACTCTATGTGTCAAGAAAGCTATTTTGCCTGGCCTGCCAGCGATTTCGCTTTGGGACTTGCCTTAGCTCTCACAATCAGCCAGGTCCCCAAGAACATCTGTCTTCTGCCTCCCAATTTGCAGTTTCGCAGCGTCCCAGTTGATTCAATCGCTGCCCTTCAGTTGTTCGCGCTTCAGCCCGTTGGGAGCAAAAGGCAGGCATGCAATTCAAGATGTTACACAATCGAACGGTTACTGGGAACTGATATCAGCAGGTATGGGACAGTGAAATGAAATGACGATATTCACCTTTCTAACACAGAGATTTCAATAAGATCGTCAGAGCAGAAGCACACCAAATTAATTAGATAAAAATGTTACTAATTCATTTACCACGGAAGGCTCGAAAATGGAAAAACAGCATGCCTGAAGGAAAAGTCCTGTGCTAGGCTCAGAGTTGGAAGCTGTGGTTCTTAGGCTTATGGCATAAGAATTGCACATGCACTTTGTCGCTTGAATAGGCCTTATAAACAAGACAAAGCCATGCTGAGGAACAAAAAGGAGCGGCATCGGTTTGACGAGTCGAGGTAGTGACGGATGAGAGCAGTTGGGGGGCCGTGTTGGGCGGAACTAGGACGTCAGACTGGTTTGCATGCTATTAGTACTATACAATGTTCATTTTTACTAAGTCGTTGGACTAGACATATGAGCTGGTCGGTGATTCTGAAAAACTTATCCAATCCGTAAGGTATCTAAGGGTCTGGGAAACAGTGCCCAACATTGAGGGGAGCAGATATACTCTCCCCTCCTCCNCCCCCCCCCCCCCCCCCCCCTCCCAAATTTTAGGTTCTTAGGTTCTTACAGTGATATTACGAAACAAAGGAACTTGGCTGAATAATGTTCCGTACGAATTCACAGAAGAGTGAGTTGGAATTCTGGTTTATGCAAATGATTGCACTGTGCGTCTTTGAGAGTTTGGTCGGTCCTCTCGAAAACCGGCCGCCTTCGTGGGGAATAACTCATGCCATGCATGACAAAACAGCATTAACTTTGTTCGCGCTGTTTGAATTGACGGTGCCGAAATAATCGAATTTTGCCCACACGATGAAATTCCATATTTTTGTCTAATATTTACCCACGGGCGTTGACAAGGGCACAATAACTCACGAGAATGCATTTTGGAGCATCGAAAACCATTATGACAAACACTTTAGGCCGGATAGATCTCTCAGAGCAAAACCAGAAAAATAAATGGAATGTTGTCGGGTAGGCACAGAATATATTAAGCATCAGCTGGACGGAACGGAGGGAGCGGAAAAATATGAGATTCATCAGGAAGACTTCATTAGTGCCAGAAAAGTTGAATTCGTTGAACTAAGTCAGAGGGCGGTCCACCACTGGATTTGGCGAGTCTTTCTCATGTAATTCATCTTGAAATAAGAAAAAAAAACTTCGACAAGAATCGTATTTCTTCGAAGAGGGACTTGGAAGATTAATTGGTGCAATCATCGCTGGCTTTCTTACGTCATGAAGTAGGGCCCTAAAACGGATATGTGGCCCGCTCGTGCGGATTCACGACAGTTTTATCACCAAAAGAAATGGACAGAAGGATGAAACTTCACAAACGTGTTCCTTTCGTTAGAAACGGCCGCTGAATGCGTTACACCCCTACTTCACATTTCATTCTCCATTGCATCTCACCCACCGTAAGGAGGTAGGAAAGAAGTTGTTCATGGGTAACCTTTCTACAGTCATTCCATTTCAGTTGTGGCTAACAGTAGGCTCCTAAGAAAAACATAAAGAAAGTAAACAAAGATCACAAAATAAAGTCACACTTTGTCTGTTGTTTCGTTGGTACTAATAGAACCCTATCTGATTATAAGTCATGGGAAATTGGAAGAGCTGCAAGTTACAGCAACAGCAGCATAGCAGAGCATATCCCAGCATCTGCTCCCCTCTGCCCGTCCTAGAATTCCACATAGCGAGAAAGCGGTTAAACTCCTTTTTTCAGAAGCGCGATTTGAAGCGAAGATGTTCAGCCTAATCGTTGTTTCAAAGGATAATCACGGACGGGACTCTATCGCAATGGAAAAGGACTGCAGAGAGTTCCGATTTTGCACTTTTCCACAAACAAAAGCATTATTGACATTAAGCAATAGCATTTTTCTTTTAGCATACATTCAATAACCTCACTAATTGTTCGAAAAAACCACATGTCCTCTCTAGCGGCCGCACAATCCCCCAAAATTCTCTCTAGCAGTCTCACATTCCCCCAACACTGTGAAACAAAATGCTTATTAGATTTTCAATCCCCATTTAACACTGAATTGTGTGGTGAGATCCCCATTTTCTGTGTTAGAAAGAGGGCGGAAGTGGTCTAGTGGCAAGTGGCGCACTATTACACACGCACGGTCACGGGTTCGAATCCCGGCTCGATATCCGCCTAGGCTAACCGTGCCTTTTATCCTTCCGGTGTCAGCACGCTACCAAACCCGTCCGAGAGGATAAAAACACCGTCTTAAACATCGCCTGGCAATCACAAGTTGTATAGGCTACATACACATTCAAAAAGACTACAATTCTGATTTGAAGTCGAGTGCGGGGCGCATTCTAAGAAACAGGATTAACTAACATTGACGACTTTATCCTTTATTGATTTTGCAGTATATCCTTTGCTGTAGCGGACGTTATTTCACGATCTTTCTACCGTGGCGATAGTACAACTCTACATAGAATCTGGTCATCAATATCTATAGGTATTAATGACCTGATCCTAGAGTTGTATAGAATAGAATGGTGATTTAAACGATAAATAGAATTCTCACTTTCCGAACTGATTAAGGCGAAGAATGAACTCGGCAGCTAGAGCGCGATCATGTTGCACTCGTAGTGAACAAGCAATCAAAATCTCTTTGCAAGACATCGATCAGTTATCCGATCTGGAACGGATTGCTACGCCAACCACTACAATTTTTTGAAATGTGCCAGACCGTATTTTTCGAACTAACAAAACATTCCAGCAGACCATATCTCATGATGTTAATCTTCCAAAACTAATTGTAAGAATCACCGAAGCCTAAATTGGGTTGAATTCTGAGGCGTGATACATTCAATCTACAGATTCGAGTCCATGTTCAGAATGCCAGTGATCAAGATTGAAATGATAAGAGGTTTGCTCTAGTCAACCAAACACAACACAAAATGATTAGGGAAGATTATTTTTCATCCCCTTTCGAGAGAAATTCGTAGAGGAGAAGAAAAAGACGGATTGTCAGAAAGCACCTTGAGCAGCTCCACAAGATGTTTCATTCTATTATCAACTGACAAAGACGGAAATTCGTTTCGACGAAATCGCTCCGCCGAAGATGACCAAGACAGTGTATTGATTA